ATTCACCGACCAACTAGTCTTCCCAGCTTTCAGACAAATGCACGGATTCTGTTTCTTGGGGCTATGGAAAGAAAGTGTTGGGGAAGAACCAAGACACTTCTGAGGTACTAGCAGGTTGTTTTTTTTTTTTTTTTAACATTTTATTTACTTAAAAAATTTGTTTTAACGTTTATTTATCTTTTAGAGACAGAGAGAGACAGAGCATGAGCAGGGGAGGGGCAGAAAGAGAGGCAGACACAGAATCCAAAGCAGGCTCCAGGCTCTGAGGCATCAGCACAAAGCCTGATGCGGGGCTCGAACTCACAAATGGTGAGATCATGACCTGAGCCGAAGTCGGATGCTCAACCGACTGAGCCACCTGGGCACCCCTCCATTTTCTGATTTCTCCTGTCTCAAATTTTCCCCTTTGATGTTTAGCTTATGCCCAAGAGCTGTGTTCAAACACAAAGGTCCCTGGGATTGGCAGTCCAATGAATAAACGGCCACTGGGATTGACTATGGATGCATTTCAGATACTTCCTTCAGAACCTATTTTGATGTGGGACAGGGTTGGTTGAGCAGAGAGGCATAAGACCACAGAATAACTGAGATGCTATAGAGTGGAAAAATTATAAGCCCCAAGTATCTTTAATTTTGCCTTGATTAAAATTCAGTTGAGATCAGAGGCCATAGGCTTCAACAGCAGGAGTCTTGAAAGGATGTATCTTCTGAGAATACAAAACGTTGAGTTAACTATTGTTTATAGATAACAGTAGAGCTTAGAGGATATTTACAGACCCATTATTATACATTTTGGTTAAGTCTGTACTCATTTGGTAGCTTGTTCTCTTAAAGTAGAATTTCTAAGTCTGTTTGGTAAGAAGAGCAAAGAGATTTCCCATAAAATTATCATATTGACTTATAAATTTGAGATTGCAAAAGTTTGTTATACAGAAAACTGTCCTTGTCTTAGGGGATTGACTTCATTCACGGACCCACTGTCTGTGACTCACAGATGTGCTTCTAATCAGCTCAATCCAACTGAAAGATGGGCACAGGCTCCTGAAACTAGGAACATAGCTTAAGGCAGTTTGTCTTGTAAATATAAATAAAGAGATGTATTAGTCAGCATTCTCCAGAGAAACAGAACCAATAAGATACATGTGAGAAGATTTATTATAGGAATGGGCTGACACAGGGTTGGAGGCTGGAGAGTCCCATGATCTGCTGTCTAGAAGCTGGAGACCTAGGAAAACTGTTAGTTTAATTCAGCATAGTCTGAAGGCCGGAGACTCGGGGGTGGGGAACAGGGGAGTGGGGAGGGGGGCATAGGCACACTGGTGTGAATCCCAGTTCGAATCCACAAGCCTGAGAAACAGAGGAGACAACGTCTGAATTCACCCTTCCTCCCCCTTTTTGTTTCATTCAGGCCCCCAACTGATTAGACAATGCCCACCTGCCTTGGCGAGGGTGATCTTTACCCAGTCAACCAGTCCTCATGCTAATTTCTTCCTGAAACACCTTCACAGAGACATACCCAGAAATAATAGTTCACCAATTATTTGAGCATCTCGTGGCCCATTCACGTTAGCACGTAAAGTTAGCCATCACGAGTGACTCTTGTAGAATAGAATGACTTGTAAAATAAAGTTACTTCAACTGATCACCTTTTTTAAGAAAGCACATTTCGCAATGAGAAAAAGAAAACAGATGATGAAGATAAAAGCATATAGTAATGATGAAGAAAACAAAGATGGAGTAGTGAAGATTGACAAAGGCGTAATTTGGTTCCTTGAGAAAACTAATAAAATAGACAAAATTCTGGCAGTATCGATCAAGAAGAAAAAATGACCCCCAAAGTGCAGAAATTAAACATTTTCCTCGAAAAGGGAAAGAAAAGGGACACCGCAAAGTTTGGGAGTGAGGGAAAAGGGCCTTGAGGGCCACACCTGGGGACCCTGAGTTTTACCTGCTTCACAGTTTCGTCTAAGAGTGGGTCCGTGTTGCCCTACATCTGAATGGAGTAGTTAAGACTCATTTGATTGCAATAGAGCAAAACCCATACCTTGACTAGTTAGGCAGATAGAGGATTTATGGTCCCATGTCACTGAAGAGCTGAATGGGATGGCTTGATCCAAGGCCCAAACGATGCCCTCGCTATCTCTCTCCCAGGTGGACGCCTTTCTCAGGATATGCAGGTTCTCGGGCTCACATGACCACAACTCCTAGGCCAGTGGGAAAGCAAGACTACTTCTCAGTATGTCAAGCAAAAGCCCTGACTGCTCCAGCTGGGGGACGTGTTTATCGCTAAGCCAGTCACTGAGGTTGGGAGAATGGAATGCTAGGGAAAGCTCTAGTCTTGAGATGTGCAAAGGGAAATGAAAGTATTCATCGAGGAAGCCACATGGGTTGAACGGTGAGAAGGAGTCATTCCCTTCAATGCAAAACTGTGACCTGTTGTCATGAGAAGGGGCAAGCTGATGCTGGGTGAGCAATATCCCAGACGTGTCAGTACCCAGGTGGTGGAGAGGAGGTGGCGAGGGTCACCGGAAACCACGGCCAGGGTCCTGAGGCCCTTTCAGCTGACTTAGGAAACAGCATGAGATACCCACAGGTAGCCCTTCGAGAGCACGACTGAATTCAAGAGGCCAATCTGGACGCAACTTTGGAATGAATTCAGGACTTGTAACACCCAATGAGTTTATGAAGAACGGAAATGAGGGGAGGCAGAAATGGCATGTGCGTTTTGACCAGCAGCCAACCACAAGATTGGCATATTGGGGTGATGTGGTCAAGGAGGGATTGGCAGACTCTTTGATTAAAAAAAAAAAAAATAGACAAGCCTTTAAAAAAAATGTTTTTACTCCAGGGAATCTAATGTGTAACCACTCAAACCAAGTGCTTTTGAGGTTTGGACGAATGATTTTCCTTCAGTTGTCACAGCAAGCCTCAGAGCCAGAAGTGTTTGACATCAGTGAAGCCTTCCTAAAGCTTACAGGTCTGGTAAGAAGGCCAGCTGGGGTGGGGGTGAAGTTTGGTTGGAAATAGGGGAGGGGGATTAGAAGCGTGGTGAGGTTTCTGAGATTCCCGCAAGATTTACAGTTTGGCTTAGGATTTGAAGATTATCTGGGGTCTAAAAATAGATCCCCAAACTGCAATATTCTTAGATTCACGCTCTTCTGTAGGCTTTCCGGTGGTCCTTGCTGATCGTACCTGAGGGATATTTTCTCTTTAATGTCTGTATGTCCAAAATGTCACTCATTCACTCATTCATTCATTCAATCAGCTGACATTACACTGAGGGCTTACTGAGGTAGAATCGACGTTCCATCCCATCCACCGCCAACCCCCCCCCCCCCCCCCCGCCCCCATCATTTCCTTGCCATCCCCACTGGTCACTGAGCTGCCAGCTCAGCCACATGTGAGTGCCTCCTGGACATTTCGGGGTCAACATCTCCAATACCAAACTGCTGACATCACTCTCCTGGCCAAATTCTCTTCTCGGCTTTCTCACCTCAAGAAATGGTGCCTCCATCCACTACTGGCTTAGGCTAAAACCTAGGAAGCATTCTTGGCCTTTCTCCCACTTCATGCCTCACTCCAACTCAGCACGCAGTGGGCTCTCAATCAATATTGACCAAATGAACTGACAGGTGGTCAAATGAGAAAGGGAATGAATGAACAATGCTCTGAGCGGCCTACACCTGACATTCCAGCCGGCACCATTTCAGCCGCTGTAGGAATGCCTGCTCGCGTCGTGGAGACACGGATGAAGTGAGTGTCCACCTGAACAAAGGTTTTTACATTTTGAAAAACTCTTGCTATTTCCTGGAAACAGATTGTGTCTCTCTGATTGTCTATTAAGATTTTTATTTAACTGCTGAAGATCTTGGAACGAAACCAAAGTCATCTGCATTTCCTTTTTTATATCTTAATTTATAAACTGCACCTTGTAATATACAGGCTCTCACTTGGTGTCTCTAACAGAGCTGAAACAAATTCCAATCCTGCCAGCTATGCTACCCGAATCTTCTCTCTGCACTCTTCCTACCAGGAACTTTCTAGTTTTCCAGGTGAGGGGAGAGGAAGGACAGTAATAATGATGATATGTCACATTCACTTAGGAAAGAGAGGGGAAGATCTCATTGCCCCCATTTTAGAGATGAAGAAATAGAGGCTGGAGACGGGAGCGACATGACCAAAAGGCTCGCTTACGAGTGGTAAAGCAGGCCTAGAATCTGTATTTCGGGACTTGCTCATGCCCAGAGTCTTTCCAGGACATTAGGGAAGGGTGTCTCCACCTTGGCACCAGCAGCATTTTGGTCTGAATCATTCTTTGTTGTGCATTGCAGGATGTTTAGTAGTATCTCTGGCCTCTGCTCATTACATATCCACCCCACTGTGACAACCCAAAATGTCTCCAGACATTGCCAAGTGTCACCGCTGGTTGAGAACCCCTGTGCTAGACTGTGTTCATTAAAACAGAGGCACGAAAGTTAGGAAAATTCACCTCCTTTTACAGGCCCTCTTTGCTCCCATCTCTCCCTTCCAGTCCCAGGGTTTTGCTGAGATTTGCCCTGCCCACAGTATCTATCACATTGACCTCTGAACAAACACCCAGGACCTTCTGTGTGGCATAGGGTGCTTCACATTCTTGATCACAATTAACTCCCCCAAGTGGAAACAACCAGCTCCCAATTTACAGGTGAAGAAATCGAGGCTTAGAGAAAGTGTAAGTTGCCCACGGTTACAGTTGGAGAGTGGCAGGCTGGGATGCTAACCCAAACCTGTCTAGTTCTGGGAACAGAGGGTTGACCTTCTCTACCCTTCCTCCTCACTCCACTCCACACAACTGAGAACCAAAGTTTCTTTTCCTGGGGCAGCAGGAAGGCACTGCACTACAAAAGCCTCCCCACTCCTCTCCATAAAGCAGTAGTCCGTGCCTCCCAGGGCTGACGTCTTTCAGGTATGCAGGACAAACGTCCATGGTTGTGGGTCCATGTGCCTGTTGCCTTCCCTAGAGGTCTGTGTCCTCAGCCCCTAGCACTGGGCCTTGCTGAGCAAAGCATCTGTAATGCCTTCCAATATGGCAATGAGGGCCTGACGCAGCAGCCCTTTCTGGAGGAGGATCCTCATGGCTGGGTCCTGTGTGACCTTGAACAAGAGAAGAACATCTCTGAACTCAGTTTTCCCATCTGTAAGTGGGAAAGACCCACTTCTCAGAGTAGATGTGGGAATTCAGTGATGATGAATGTAGACTGATTGACATGGATGCTGGTGCTGGATAGTGCCCTTCAATGGAATGCCCAGCTCCTTCCATGAAGTTATCTATAACAAACTTGCTTTCAATTCCTGAACCTCTCTTGGTGAGTCTGTAACCCCCGTGTTCCATGTGGAGTTACTTCTTTAGGGCTATCCACCCAGCATGACTTCAAGCTCCCTGAGGATCCCTACGGCCTGTCCTCTTGTCCCCTTCCACAGTGGCCAGCCCAGTTTGTGCTCAAAATGTTTGCTGAGGAATCAATAACTGACGATTCCAACAGTAATAACCTTTTGCATTGGGTGCTGCCTTTTCTGGATATATCTGAACATACGAAACTATGTTCCTTGGTTAGTAGCCTGGTGATGGTGCCCTTGATTCCCTACCCTGAGCAGTTTGGGCGATTCACCATTATTTTGGTTCTGCTTTAGCCATTTTATCTCCCCAGGTCACATCACCTTGTGGTAAGATTCAAGCTCAGCGTATCAAACGTGCTGAGTAGAAGAGGGGCTCAGTAGAGCCTGGGTCCCAGTCCCCATCCTGGCTCTGAATCCCATCCCTGCCCAGCCATTTACTTCACCAGCAGCCATTTACTGATGTTACCCGGGTCTCAGTTTCCTCATCAGTGAATTGGGGATATGAATGGGACCAGCCTCAAACAGTTAGGGGATGAAATGCACAGTGCCTAGGATGTGTCAGGCCCCCAATCTCTACTCATCTCTGTCCTTTAATTGGGGTGGTTGCGGTGCCAGTGAGCAAGCACGCTGAGCGAGGGAAAACTTTGGGAGGCATGTATCTGTGCAGCAAGCAGGAGGCAGGCCGCCGCCGAGCAGCAAGGGGCGTGCACTGCTGTAGCAGCTTTTCTGCTCTACGTGCCTTCCCCAGGGAAAGGTGGCGGGCTTCAGTCCCCCCGCCCCCTCCCCGGATGCTGCGGAACGCGCGCCCGACCCCAGTGCCCCCGCCGCGAAAGACGAGCAAAATCATCCCGGCCGAACTCCATGGTAGCATTCACTTCATTTCTTCTCTTAAAAATTAATAAAGGCTGCTCAAAATTCTGTGCTCTTCAAAGCACCCAGCAATGAAGCCAGTTCCCCAGGTCCTAGGGTGTTTTTTTTTTTGTTTTTTTGGC